ACCGTGGTGCGGTGGCCTGCCACCACCGCGGCCATGATGCGGTGGGTGCGGGGGCTTCGGGTGAGGTGTTTTCGGGGGACGGTACGGAGGATACGGACCGTAGGACGGAGGGTGGGAGCAAGGGGCACAAGCTTGGATTGGTGGCAATGAGACCACAGCCAGGATCAAGAAAATGAAGAAGGAAGACAACGTTTTCGAACCCATTATAATTAGGGTTCGTTAAATTTCACGTTTATTAGGGTTTCATGGTTTGATCGCATAGTGTGTGCAATATATATATATAGATCAAACCTAAGCGTAACCCGTGACTCTTCGTGGGTACACTAGTCACTATTGTATATAGTATAGCTTCTACGATTTTTGTGAAAGGTACGGACAAAGGAACATCTGTAGAGCACTATGACTATGAAAGAGAGAAAAAAAAAGTTTTGAAATTCGGGATTCTTTTGAGCCCCTCGAGTTGCGTTACAACTCAATATTGCATTTGTTATTATTATGATTTATGAAAATATGGATATATATATACAAGTTGCGTGAAAAGATGAGGAAATGATAAAAACTGGAGAGTTTTGGAACGTTGTTGGTCCATTACGAACTTCAAGGTGAAGTCCGTGACTAAATGTTCAGAGTGATGATACAGTCTTCGAATTCCTAAGTCCGTGAACTATTTGTTCTCTTATGTTTTTGATTTCATAAATCGGTCCAGATTCCAATTGTTATGTATTATATAGTATAGATCGCCCATATGAACCTTGACAATAATATATATCGATCAACCAAAACATGTACATGATTAAGTTACAAATCGAAGATTTTGTTCATATTTTACCCCTAAGATAGGGTGGTCGTTAATAACCGAATCAAACCAAACTGAATAAGACATAACCGTAATCGAACCAAACCCTATATAAAAATTGAACGGTTATGATTTCATTTTCTCTAAACCCGAAAAAACCGAAACCGAACCGAACATATTAAAAAAAATAACCGAAAGAACCGACAATTTCTCTGAAAAAATGAGTTGTTTACAACAAAAAACCCGAATCCGAACCAAAATGAACCGAAGTTTATATAAAAACCGAATTTTATAGTTTTCTATAACCGAAATAACTGAATCCGAATATAACCGAACCGAACCCGAGCTGAGCTCTGAAATGGCCATCCTAAAGATAATCATGAAACTAACTCTCAATTTTGCTGAATTTTGAAATACAACTTGTTAAACTTCAAAAGGAAAAGGTTGTACTCAAGTATTAATGGCAGAGTGAAATAGTTTTTTAGAATACGGGTTTAGACTATATATTTATGTTAGTATTAATTGAGGAATTATATGAAAAGTTTATATAATATCAGACATTATATTATATATAATTGTAGCCCAAGCCGTTTGGTGGAATCAAATCCAAAAGAAGCAAAAGCAAACAGCTATTTGTAATTTGGCAAACATCATTTAATTGAATTGATATGTTCTGTAACACCGTAACTTTTTGTCATACCAATTTAATGACTTAATTTTTACTTATAAGTTTTGAAAACTATACTTTGAACTTGTCTTTAGTACTATTATATAAACCGTGAAAGTTCAAACGATTAGTCCATGAGCTTCCGAAATTATGTCTACGATAATTAATTTCGAAATTAAAAAATGACATACTTGGAGATTTATTATTGTTTAAAGTTTGAAATTATAGATGCAATATAATTAAAAAAACTGTAATTAATTAATATAAAAAAGTTACTTAAAATAAAAATTATAAAAATATAATAATGTAGAGTCTTGTTATTCTCCAAAAGATATATATTCGTAATCAGATATTCGGGGGAAGAAAAAATAAGAGGGAAAAAAAATAAGTAGCTTCTGAGTGATAAAGAGGGTTTACCCAAAGCCGCACGTGTGCATTGTCTTATAGTTCAAGAGGAACATCGGATCAGACAGGCGGCGTCCACCGTCGATGTCGCAAACACTTCACGTTCGATCCACGCCGGTCGGCGATCGACAACTCTGTTTCCGAAGCATTCTTCCGGAAATTTCGCAATGAGTAATTCGATTCTCCTCTGATTTCCCTTTTAAGTTCCAATCTTTGAGTAACCCAGATAACGGAAAAGAACGAACTTTTGGATTCTCTCTGTAGCTTTTATGCCTAAACCCTAAATCTCAACACTGGTTTAGAGTTCGATTTCATCAAATTGGTGAAAAAACTTTCGGTGTTGTTCGTGGAAACAATGTGATTCTCGATTATGATGCTCGGAACCCTGTGGTCATTTCTCGCATTAGCAAGCTGGTTTTGTAAGGATTGCTGAAATATCCCCGTGACTGGTAACTTGAGGGGAATCTATTTCCTATTTGGTCTGTTCCATCGGTTTGAAGAATGCTGAAACAATCTAATGCAACCTGGAAAATAGCTCGAAGGAAGAACTTTCAAGATGGAAGAGAACGAAGAATTTCTGAAAGAGATTACTGTAGTCTCTATCCCTTAAACGTCTGTACAAGAGTGTATTTATAAAATACAACTAAGGACTAAAAGAATAAATAATGAAAATACAAAGGATCAAAAAATAACAAACCCTGCTACAATGTCGGCTAACCTCCTTACACCTCCAATACGCCCATGTACTCAGGTCTCTGTCCAGTACAGTCTTTTTCCACCTGTTTGCTTTTCCATTGCATAAAACTCCCCCTCAAGATGGAGAATACAAGTTTCGTATTCCCATCTTGATAAGTAAACGATGAAAGTGATCGATATACAACGGCTTTGTCAATAGATCTGCTATTTGCTCCGAGGATGAAACATGGGAAAGTTGCAGAAAGCCTGACTTCACCTTATCTCTCACAAAATGACAGTCCATTTCTATGTGCTTGGTCCTCTCATGATAAACCGGATTGGTGGCTATGTGTATCGCAGATTTACTGTCACAAAACAGAGTGATAGGATTGAGAAGTGGAACCTGAATGTCGCTGAGTAATGAGGAAATCCATAGAAGTTCACAGGTTGTTTGTGCCAAGGCTCGGTATTCAGACTCAGCACTGCTGCGGGAGACAGTGCTTTGTTTCTTGGACTTCCATGAAACGAGGGAGTTACCGAGAAATACGCAAAAGCCAGTGACAGACTTTCGGGAGTCAGGGCAGGCTCCCCAATCAGCGTCTGAATATGCTGTCAAAGATAAATCATTCTGCGAAGAGTAGTATAAACCTTGGCCTGGAGCATTTTTGAGATACTTGAGAACCCGCAAAGCAGCTTGAAAGTGGGTATCCCTGGGCTGAGCCATGTATTGGCTAAGTTTCGTAACCGGAAAACTGATGTCGGGTCGCGTTACAGATAAGTAGATCAGTTTACCTATCAGTTTTCGGTAGGATGTTGGATCGGCGAGTAATTCCCCTGCATCTTGTGAAAGTTTCAGCTTTGCTTCCATGGGTGAGGCCGCTGGTTTGCAGCCCAGGAGACCGAACTCTTCCAACATTTCGAGTGTGTATTTCCGCTGGCATATCTGAATTCCCATTTGAGATCGAGCAACCTCAATTCCCAGAAAGTATTTCATCTCGCCTAAGTCCTTGATCTGGAATTCAGCCTGGAGAACCTCTTTTAGCTCAGAGAACAAAGTGACATCATTCCCAGTCACAAGGATGTCATCAACGTAAATCAGAATGACAACAATCGAAGTCCCCCTGCGCTTAACAAACATTGAATGATCAGATTTGCAATGAGTGTAAGCGGCATTCAGAAGTACCAGTGTGAGCTTCTGGTTCCACTGGCGAGAGGCCTGTTTTAGGCCGTACAGAGATTTACGAAGGCGGCAAACTGAGTTTGATGGATAGGTCTCCCCCTGAAGTTGAGCATACCCGGGAGGAAGGGACATGTATATCTCTTCCGCTAGGTCGCCA